TTGCAGAACTCTGGAGGCTGGTGGACACAGGTTCAACCTGGTGCTGCTACCAGGGGTCCTGGCTGCCCTGTTAGACAGGGCCTGACAGTGGCCAGGTGATACATGGAGTCCTGGCCCATGTCTGTCTCACGGTGGGTCCAGTGGAGCCACAGACTCACACTGCGGTCACTTCCCTGTCCCTAAGTGCAAGTCGAGATGGGAACACTTAATAGCTGACAGACCTTCTGGTCGGATTTCTGATCCATGGAGTAAGAGCTGCTATAGCAGGAAAGGCCAGACAGAGCCCCCTAAACGCCCCTCCTGGCCAGGGCAGAAAATCAGAAGCAGCACCTCATTCTGGGGGGAGTTGCAGAGACCAGCGCCCTTCTTAAATACTCAGGGGACGAGGGACTCCCTGATGGACGATGGCGAGTGCTGCCACTGGCTGAGTGGTGGCCCCTAATCATATCTGCTGTGCCGGAGTGTCTTCACTCAAACAGATCAACATGGCCTTTGGCGCCCGGTTTGTGACTATTGATCTATCCGCATCGAGAGAGAATTGAAAACCATTTGTATTCTCATGGGAGGGACAGCAGTTCACATTTATCGTTTCATCTAGGGGCTGCGTTCACTTTCCTGCTCCCTGTCACAGCATCAAAATGGACAGTAGCTAAAGGGACATTGGATGTCTTAACATTCCAGTGGCCTGCTGTATTGATGGCATGATGCTAATCAGACCTGGTGACCAGCAGATGGCAAGTACTCCGGGTGCCCTGGTAAGATGTGCATGTCAGAGAGCAAGATACAAACCCCCAAGTTCAGGAAGCAGCCACACTGGTAAAGTTTTCAGGTGTCCCATGGTCTGGGCATGCCAGAACATCCCCTGTAAGGCCAAGACCATGTTAGTGCGCTTTTTGCCCTGGAAGCAGCAGCCTCTCAGATGGCCCCAGCAATGCCCACCTTTTTTGGTGCTCACGCTCTTCTGGAATCCTCTCCTCTGGAATGTGAGCTGACCAGCTGATCTTGAGACTCACTTCTTTTTTTTAATTAGAGACAGGTTCTCACTATGTTGCCCAGGCTGGTCTCGAATTCCTGGCCTCAAGCAATCCTCCCACCTCGGGCTCCCAAAGTGTTGGGAATACAGGCATGAGCCACTGTGCCCAGCTGAGACTCACTTCTAAGGGACAGAACATGGCAGAGTGATGGAGGCCACTTCTGAGATTAGGCTGCAGAGGCTGTGGCTTCCCACTTGTGTGTGTCCTCTGTTGCTTGCTCCTTCTGAGGGAAGCCGGCTGCCAGGCTGTGAGCTGCTCCGTGGAGGAGCCCATGTGCCAAGGAGCTCAGGAAGGATTTTGGACAGCAGTCAGAGAGGACCTGAGGCCCTCAGTGCAGTGACCTCAGAGGACGGAATCCTTCTTAATATGTGCGAGTGGGCTTGGGAGGGGATTGTCCCAGACAAGCCTTCCGAGGAAAGCGCAGCCCTGGTAGACACCTCCACTACAGCGACGCCTACCTTGAGGCAGGAGCACAGAGCTATGCCACACCCACATTCCTGACCACAGAGACTGAGATAATAAACCCTTGTTCTTTCAGGCTGCTAAATTTTGGGTTAGTTTGTTATACAGAAATAGAAAACAAAGACAATCTTCTACCTCTAGGAAAGAGTTCTCTTTCTCTTGCTTGGCAAGATTTGGAGTTTGGAGGCAGAATATATCATATTTAATACGGCCACCAAGCACTTACTGGGAAACTTGGAGGTGCGCTCTTGAGTGGAGCTGCCCATCACGGGCATTTTCAGATCCATGAAGCTGTAATGTTGGGTGAGTGTGCAGGAATCCATTCTTCGACGAAAATGATGTGTCATTTTTCTTGATTTTCTCTATTTTCTATGGATTGCTGGACATAATATATGAACAATTATAATTTTTTTTTTTTTTTGAGACAAAGTCTCGCTCTGTTGCCTGGGCTAGAGTGCCGTGGCGTCAGCCTAGCTCACAGCAACCTCAAACTCCTGGGCTCAAGCAATCCTACTGCCTCAGCCTCCCAAATAGCTGGAACTACAGACATGCGCCACCATGCCCGGCTAATTTTTTCTATATATTTTTAGCTGTCCAATTAATTTCTTTCTATTTTTGGTAGAGACGGGGTCTCGCTCTTGCTCAGGCTGGTCTCGAACTCCTGAGCTCAAACAATCCGCCCGCCTCGGCCTCCCAGAGTGCTAGGATTACAGGCATGAGCCACCGTGCCCGGCCAACAATTATAATTTAAAGCCTAGGATATTATCCTCTTCTAGAAAGAATATACCTTTCCTTCTCTCTCAGCTGGCTAGTTTGGCACCAGCAATAAATCCTGAATCACTTGAATGCAATTTCAGAAACAGAGGTGAATTTAAGGTGGGTTTCATGAAATCCCTGCAAGGGCTGGTCTATTTCTGGTTCACATTGACTCCTGCAGTGTAGCCTTCCATGGTCTCAGCCAAAGATGGGGCATTTACAAGAACCCCTCCCCTAAGCAGTCCTGGACTGTGGTCCCCCAACCCACAAAACTCAAAATCTCTGTTTTGGTTCTCACCCTTTCAGCTGCCTCTTCCAGAATTGACTGACCCCGGAGTGAAAAATGGCCCCAAATGTTGGGCTTACCTCTCTGGGTTTCCTTTTTCTTCTGTTTTTTGGCTCCATAATATTTTACTACTAAACTAGCACTTCGATGCCGTAAAACAGATTTTTAAAAGGTTATATATATATGTGTGTGTGTGTGTGTGTGTGTGTGTGTGTGTGTATTTTTTTTTTTGAAACAGGTTCTTGCTCTGTCACCCAGGCTAGAG